AGAACAATTAACCAGTGGAACAACCTGCCTCCAGAAGCGGTGAATGCTCCAACACTGGAGGTTTTTAAGAAGAGATTGGACAGCCATTTGTCCAAAATGGTATAGGGTTTCCTGCCTGAGCAGGGGGTTGGACTGGATGACCTCCAAGGTCCCTTCCAACTTTATTACTATTATTATTATTGTTGTTGTTGTTGTTGTTATTCCTCAGACATGATATCCTTTCTCTCAACCCTCCCTCTTGCAGGAATGGAAATATTCACTATTACTACTACTACTACTTCTACTTCTACTACTAGAAGGTAGGGATGTTCAAAACATTTCCAAACCTGAAATGCAAATTAAGACTCTTCGGAGCAGAGGGATTATTAAGCTTGTAACAGGATAATTTGCACTGTACACAACAGAGCTGTGTGCACTTGGTACACATCCAAAATTTGCTCAAAACAGCTGCATTGCTTATGACGATGCCTTTTACACTCAAAACAAGAGACTTTTCAATTCAAGATGCTACCATCCAGGACATTAGGGCTTGTTGCTATTTCAGCAGCCAACTTCCAGCATCTTTAAATATTAGATATTTAGTTTCATAATAGAAAAAAAATGATGACACGTTATCTTTTCTCCTCACTAACCTGGTGGAGTATTCTTTTCATTTTTAAGAGCTGGGTTTTCACTGCCGTGCACTCTTGAACCATATGGCGAAGGGTCATTTCGTCCAATAACACAGTGTTTGCTGGCAAGCTCCTCAGCGGTGGATACAAGCCTGATGTCCCGTAGCCTTCGAGATGACTAACAGGGGGAGAATCGACATAGTTGCAACCCCTGAAACAGAGTTTGAAGGATGTTAGTAAAGAGCCTTTGTTTATGTCTAGTTTAAGGAAGAGAAGGACGAGGGGGGACATGATAGCAGTCTTCCAATATCTCAGGGGCTGCCCCAAAGAAGAGGGAGTCAAGCTATTCTCCAAAGCGCCTGAAGGCAGGACAAGAAGCAACGGATGGAAACTAATCAAGGAGAGAAGCAACCTAGAACTAAGGAGAAACTTCCTGACAGTGAGAACAATTAACCAGTGGAACAAC